TGATTAAAGACAGCATTAACATATTTAACTTTTAACAGCCTTCCAAAAGCCTTGTTCAGCATAGTGATTTTTTCTAACAATAAGAAATTAAAAGATGACCTATACAAAACTTTCAAATGCATTTTATGTCCAGCATAGAAACAATGAGAACCAAACTTTTTAAACCATTCTTTGAATACAATTCTGAACATTTTTTGCTAAAGTAATTTAAGCTTTTAGGTTATAAGAAATAATTAATGTTATTAAAGCCAGAAACCATTAATTGGGAAATATAAAGTATCCAAATACTCTATTCCAGATGTCTTTCATATTAGCCAAACTTACTTTTCTAATTTTTATTTTTATTTTCAGTAAAGGCCTTCTACAATATATTCAGTGTCTCTAGAATGTCATAGACCCCATGAAGACATTATGACTAAACAATGTACATAACAAGTTTTCGTACTGTGTTGCTATTCTGTATTTTTAGATAAACTGTATTCTTTTTGTAAAATCTAAAAAGTTGTAAGAGTTTTGTTTCTTGATAGTAAAATAAAAGTAATGATCCCATTTTAAAAAATACATTTTCTCAGTCATCTTTAAATAATAGTGCTCCAAAGTCCTAACTTCTCATGAGGAAATATCAATTTGAGTTTTCTGATCAATAAGACCAGATAACTAATTGCCTTTCATACTAAAAAAAGAACTGAAATTCTACCGTAATTTGAACCAACAGTTCTCCAGGATTGCAACAGTAGTAACTGTCTTGTTGAACCCACTAAGTATTATGTTTATACATCTATCTCAATTTCCACACATAACCAATGCCAAACATTAAGGGATTATTAGGTTTTCTATTTTGGTTTATTTGTTTCTTTGTTTTACCATTGGACTCTGATTTCCACAGAAATTTAGTTATAGAGGAAGACTTCATACCTGGTCCAAGTCATTTCGTAGAGCAATTTTGCTTGTTACAAGTTCATGAGCAAGATCATCATTCTCTTGCTCAAGTCGCATGCTGGCTTCCTGAAGCCTGCGATTCTCCCTCTGCAGAAAAAGAACCAACAAGCAGAAAGTTAACAGAACAGAGAGAAAAGAGAAGGTGTATCCATTTATACTTTAGAAAAGAAGTTTAGAAGTGTTGCTAATTTACTGCATCCATTAAAAGCTAGGCAATTAATGATATAATGATACGTTGTTCATTAGTCAACCAGATTAGTCAACCAGATTAAGCTCAGGTACTCAATGTCGTCTTGATATTGTACTCTATATGTAATGTCATCTTTCATCATTATTCCCATAGATCATGTAAAATACTTATTTTATCTTGAATACAAAAAGCATTCTATCCCTGACATATTATGTCTTGCCTTAAGAAATACCCACAAATAAGGAATATTGTTGACAGTTTACTATGTTCCCCCATGCCTTATTCATTGCTGTTACTCACTTTTTAGCTCTTTTTAGACCTTTTTTACATTTTTAATATATTTCTTAGTTTGTATATGTAATTTTATTTTATTGTATTATTTTTTATTTTTGTACCCTACCTTCTTTATGCTGGTTTTAATAGTAATAAAGATTTGATTTGATAATGAAGTTGAATTATTAATACCCAAAGCATGCTAAAATAATGTGTTTTTGTGTCTCTTCAGCAGGACTTATGACATAGGATTTTGAAGCTGCTAGCTTAATTCAATCTTCTCTTCAAAATGTTACTTTCATTACTTCTACCATCTTGATTTTTTTAGATTCATTGAAGCAGGAATCGGACTATATACATGCAATCTCTTAAACAGGAGCAAATGTAAAAACAAAACAGGCTTGCTTGAGATATAGACAACAAGAGTTGTATGTTTATCTATTCAAAGTAAAAAGCAAAGTTATTATTAAGGATGAAGAATTTCCACAAAAGGGATATATTCAGAGTATTCAATTTTAACCTTGGAACTGATCATGACAAAACATAGATATGTGCATGGTTATGCATAAAATAGGAAACATATTTTGTTTCAAGATCAGAACAAAACAGCCCTAGTCAAGTGTTCTGTGTTCTGAGGATGGAACAGACTTTGAATGTACCACATTTTCTCCATCTAGAAGAATAAATTCAAGAAAAGGATGCCCTTCATGCCCATAGTAATATACTTATTGAAAGCCTCTTGCACAATGTGGTGTGAAATCTTTCCCCTAAGTTTTCCGTTCCATTGAATAGAAAGAACATGAAAGTATTTTGGCCTAGCTTTTTGCCAATGGCCACACATGGTCGTATTGGGACTATTCCAGTCCAGAAGGCTGCTGCAATTAATGCCTGACTATAGCATGAGGTGGGTTCCTGGAGAGAAGAGTGCACTATAAAGCACAAAGGTATCCCCTCCCTCCTTTTTCCATAGCAAAAAATCCACATACAAAAATTGAACACACACACACACACACACACACACACACACACACACACACACACAGCACTATTATGGCCATTTCCAGGTTCTGAAAAAAATTGTCAGCAAAAATTGCATGTAAATAATATTAAGAATGCTACAATAAAAAAAATACTACTTTTCAAAATAGGAAGCAATAGTGTAGAGAGTATATGTAACAAAGCCCAGTAAAACAACCCAACAGAAAAGCCTTCATTTTTAATGTCTTTTGAAAGTTCAACATGAATACATACAAGAGATTTTAGAGTGCATGCATTAATACACACATCATATTTGAACTAGCAAAAATGCAACCAACAATGCATTTTAAAATGCATCCTGAAGCTACGTATCAACAAAATAAAAGTCAAAGCTTAACCAAATAAACAGTGAAGACATTGTGAAAAGACTTTAAGTTGGTTTGCTAAGCTTTGGTGTGCATGTATAGTGTATGTGCACTCTGTGCATTTCCTCATGTCTTGTTGTCCACCAGCAGCCTGTGGAGCTGGCAGCAGAATTGGACAGTGAGGAGTCTAGGGAGGAACATGGGCCAATCCTGGAGTCTGAGGAAGGCTTGGTTGAGGGCTCTGCGTCAGAGGCAGAGAAAGGGCCATCTGGGAGGTACGTGCTGCCTCCGGAGCCTCCAAAGTCAGACTTCAGCAAGGAAGAGGAACAGGGGGAGTCTGTTTCCAGTGTGCGCATGCGCAGAGCTGCCAGATGGCAAGAACAGTTAAAACAAAAGGGACAACTTGGGAGTAGGGCTTGGAGATGATTGGCCCCCTCCCATAAGATTTAAAAGAGGAGCAAAGGCATCTGGGCCTTTGCAGGAAGCAACATTGTTAATTCTGTGCAGTTTAAAGTCTGAAGCTCTGTTTGATTCCGGACTCCATGTGACTTTGCCAATTAGGTCTTTGGTAGCATGCCAAGGGAGATAAAGGTGGGTGATTATCAGCCTTATCCCAAAGGACTCTTTACAACTATTTGGGACTCATCTGTGAATGAACAGAATTCACAGCTGTTAAAATAAACAGGTTTTTGGGACTACTCGTGTGTTTTACTGACTCAGGAAGCCTAGGTCAGAACACCATGCATAGAATATAAGACATATTCAAAAAAAAGTTACAAACCCATTCCAATATGGTACAATGTTAGTAGTTCTTCTATGTATAATTGATAACAACTGTTACAACATTAGCAACACTTATGTGTGAAACACCATGGTTCATGCACATAATACAAAACTGTATTTACCTGCCTTATTTTATCTCCACTGAACTGCTTCTTTATGCGGGGGCATTGGCATTCTGTTGATGGCATTCATGAACTCTAATTTCCCTACAGCGAAGAATGTTTAAAAAACAACAATTTACTTACCCAACTGACAGACAATGACATAGTTGCAAGTGATCCTCTTCTTTTCTCTGGCCTGGAATCTGTTCTGCTGTGATCCAGAGAATTGCCTCCATGTGCATGTGCTTTGAATGGTATGGGGCCTCTTCAGAGTCACTGCACCTTGACTGACTGGGACCTAGCAACATCCTTATGGGCTGTGTATGAAGGAGGGGGTGAGAGTGGGTGGGAGAACTTTGAGAGAAAGCTGGCATAATACCATTTTAACTTAGGTGGGGCAATACATAGATAGGCCCCAGTACAAATTATTCAGGTGATCCTCTTTGTAATGTATATCCCTCAGGGGAAAGAAGCTAGGGCTCGCCCTAATATGAAATTAATGCTTTAATGCATGGGGTGTGTGCTGACTCCCTGTATAAATGGGGAAAGACACCTTCAGCACAATGTGATTGCGGGGGCCCTCGACAGACTATCCAGCATATAGTGAGGGAATGCCCTAACAGAAGGTATCCAGGAGATTCTAGGGACTTCCTCTGCATAACAACGGCAGCTACTGACTGGATCTCCAAACTCGACATTAAACTTTGAAATGTTATTTCTGTTTTCCTTTTAGGTTTTATTACTGCTTTTTTATTGTTTTTATTGTTTTTAACCTGTAAAAATGAAGTGTTTTAATACTGTGTGTGACCAACCATACGCTAAATAAATAAATGCTTTAGAGAGGCAGATTAGCTGCTATTAAAGGGATAGCACTCCCCAGTGGAGAGCTGGCTGCCTGTGATTTGAAGGATGAAGTAAGGGGTTATCTTTCAATTTCTCTCCAATGGCTTCATGAAAAGAAGGGGTTTGTACTTCCCAGTCAATATTCCATGTGGGAACAATGGGATATCACAGCATTACTTGCCTTGGGTCTGTCACTCAGGGTGCAGGAACTTGCTATTGATCAACTTTTATCAGGTAGGGCAGTCCAAAACAGGTGTTTTTCTTATCTTCTTCAAGCTCACATAGTGACTTCTGTTATTTTGGCAATGCAGCAAAGATGTTATCCCAAGATGAGGCTGGTATGCTTGGGCATGCCAAGAAAATTCCCAGGCTGTCTGCTGCTACTACTATTGAGCCTTTCTTCTCTTGGATACAGCCTTTTCTCCCTTACTCCTTCTGAGCCTCATCTGCAACAAGGAGCTTTGTCCACCAGGGGAGAGATCCGTTCCTGATCAACTTTCCTTCACCTTTGGGTCACTTCCTGGAATTACTCAAAGATTTTTTAAAAAAACGAACTGAAAGCAAAAACTGACTCATGCAGTATAGCATAAGTATAGAGACAGCTTCAATTATTTCTCTACTCCTGGGGATCAGAGAGACATGCATTCAAGTGCTGAAAGGTTCACCAGCCACATTCGCAATATACATAATTTCCAATCTGATGTCTCTGGACCATCTTGTTGTTTGCTCACAAATGACTGCTTCGCTTACTGCAAGTTTCCTATTGCTGCTACTAGTAGCTGGATAGTTTTCTATCAGATAGGGTGTAGTAAATCCTTGCAGTGTGTAGATGTAGGATTCAATCACCTCTTAGGCACCTTCCAACTCTATGATTCTATGACAGTAGAAGATGCCCAAGAAGGTGCTTAAGTATTCATGATGTTGAATAAACATTGTGTCCTCACCTATTGCAACAGTTCAGAAGAATAACATGGGTCTTAAAACTGCAAGGTTAAAGTGCAGCCATACTACCTGTCCAGATGGCTCCTCCCCTACTTTGCTGATGATAATCTACTGATTCCTCTGCATCACCTCTATTACTATTTGTGATCTTCATTCACAGGATAGGGTAACTCCTCATTTCCCTGTCCCACAAACTCAGCTTCTGGGCTTCTAAGGGAGGGTAGAGGTACTCACTATGACTAGTGGTACCCACTATTATGACAATTGATGCCACTATTTCTGCTGCAAGGAGTATTACCAACTGGCCTTTTATCTGATTATAATTTCCAAGTCATAGATTTTTTTAAAGTTAGGATGTCATGGAAGGGGGAGGGTTATATAGCCGCCATCTAACTATAAGAATTATTCCACACCCACCTGAACAAATAGGGGTAGAGTAAAAGAGATATGTCTTAAGGAGAAGATAAATTTAAAAACAGAGAAGGATGATATCTCTCTTCTATCCAACACTCAATATTGCTTTAAAGTTCACTAATAGGATAAAATGCCCAAACTTGCTTCAACAGTGAGATGGAGGGAGGGAGGGAGAGGGGGAGAGGGAGAATGGGATGTGGGATTGAGGCAAGCAGGCAGGCAGGAAGACAGATACTCACTTGGTGAGCCAATCAATAGTAGCAATATTGGTACTGCTTGTGGTGGGCCAGTCAGTGGAAGGGCAGTTAATCTCATCCTCCTTCCCCATTGGCAGAGCAGAGTCCCTCATGGCTCTTTAGCCCTCAGGCTTCTTTATAAGGAATTCTACTCTGCCTTAGCATTCCATCCCCAGAACACCCCATTCAGCCTAAGCCAACCAATACAGATACACAACTGGCTAGACATGGACAAATATTTTAAAACAATAATCATAAAACCCAACATTGAATTGCAGAGCAAGGCACAACACTGAGCCTGTCAACACCAGTTGCCTGCAATTACTGCAAATTCAAATCCCACCAGGCTCAAGGTTGACTCAGCCTTCCATCCTTTCGAGGTAGGTAAAGTGAGGACCCGGATTGTGGGGGCAATAAGCTGACTTTGTATAAAAAAGAATACCGCTTAGGGGGGCCTGAAAGCCCTACTAAGCAGGTATATACAAAAAAAGTGCTCAAAATGGGCAAGTATTGTTCTGAGTACAGTATGTTTTGTGCAAAGCTCGAAACAAAACTTTTGCAATCTGTGTGTCTGAATTCAAATTTGGAATGCTTGAAAAGGCTGCATCAAGCACAGAAAGTTTTGCACATCCTAATGCTTGGTGGAATACAGAATTGCTATTGGATTAAATAAAAAAGATTTATATATACATTCTTATTTAACATGATTTTCACCTAGAAAAATAATATTCTGATGTTTAGCAATATATCACCGCTCAATTACAATATAAATATAATAGAAGTGTATGAAACTATGAAAGTATTACCTAAGTAATAAGGGATTTTCCGTATTTAATTAAAGTAACGTTAATGTATTTTGTTTTTATTTATTTTTCAAATACACATTGAAAAGAAAAAAGTATGTGGTACATACAATTTTAAAAAACAAAATATGGCAGATGGTGAACAAATCTCAATCGATAAATCTAAAATATCATATGGCTAATGTATTCTAACACAATTAAAAACTTAAAATACTGTAACATTTTATACACAGTTTCTAGTCAGAACATAACTCTATTGAACTTTAAAAATACTTTGTCAATACAATTAAAATCAATAAGAGGAAAAAATAAAAACTATAAAGAATACATTTGTAAAATATGATAAATATGAAAATTATGTCAAATTAAAATATTCCATTTCTAGAAATGGTTTCCAAATAAGATTGAGTTCTGCATCAGATTTACTTCTTTAATATGAAGTAATTCTAGATATTAAAGCAAAGTCCCATTATTTGGTTAAGTATTTTTTGATGTTAGAGAATAAAATATTTCTCGGAAAACTCAGAAATCGAAGACAAGAGCAGTCAGAGTTTAAGGTGGGCACAGATAATCCTAGGATTCATTACAACTACTTCTGTTACAAATTACAAGAAAAGGGCGGTAAAGCCATTCTGAGAAGGTTCAAAAGTGTGTTAAGTCTTTAAAACAATATTGAAACTAAATCTCTTCACATACAGGTAGTCCTCAACTTATGACCACAATTAAACCCAAAATTTCCATTGCTAAGCAAGATAGTCATTGAATTTTGCCCAATTTCATGATCTTTCTTGCTACAGTTGTTAAGGGAACTGCCGTAGTTGTTATATTAGTAACATGATTGTTAAATGAATCAGACTTCCCCATTGACTTTGCTTGTCAGAAGGTCACAAAATGACCCTGGGCCACTGCAACCATCATAAATACATGCCATTTGCCAAGCGTCCAAATTTTGATCCCATTACTACTGAATGCTGAAATAGTCATTAGGTTTAGTGAAAAACAGTCACAAGTAACTCTTTTCAGTGCCATTGTAACTTCAAAAAGTCACTAAATAAATGGTTGTAAGCCGAGAACTACCTGTATGCACAAATTCTGTATTTCAATCACAAGATATGAAGTTTTCAGTTCCTTAAAAAAAAAACCAAAATAATGGAGAAGCTGGCAATTCTCTTGCCTTGTGTTTTTATAAATTTGCAAATCTTTTATTACTTCTCTATTTCTGGAGACTATCTGACAGAAATGTGAATAATTCACTAAAGCATGCAAGCTCTGAAGGCATCCAGCCGGAACAAGAGTTGAGTTTATATTCTCTATTAAGTGCTTGCCAAAAAGCTTCAGTGTATGCAAAGCAGATAGCACAATGTAAGCATGAGATTTCTGGCTCTGCATTTACAGACAAGTGGGCAAGCAAGCTGTGTGGTAGGAACTGCAGTGTCCTCCTTCTTGTAATAAGAGTGTGCCAAATTTCAAAGGAAATATGTCTGATATATTTAGCGAATGATTTTTTAAAAGCCTGTGTGTCCAATTTTTTCGTAGCTTATTAAAGTCTTTTCTTCTGGAGATGAAAAAGAAAGGTTTTGTTATACCAGACTTAATCCATCTTCTCAACAAGAAAGAAGTCTTGCAATAATAAATTTAATTTTTTTTAAAAAAAACAGTAATTAAAAATCACTTTAGTCCTGAAAAGCAGCAACATTCTCAGAGGGAAAGTCAGTTAAAGCATCTCAAGGAATAAGCAGACTGATTTTGTTGCCTCCAGGGAAAGTATAGTTTAAAAAGAACCTAATTATTAACACTACTACACAGAAGATAAAGTTTGTGCACTGCATATGCCAGCCAAACTTAAGATAAATATGTAAACAGAAGCACTTTTTCCACTACTATATTATCTGTAGTCTAAAAATAAAGATTGTAACATCCAAATACAGTCTCAGGGCTCTGCATTATCAACTGAAAAGGTGAGGGGTAGAATTCTCAACTATCAGTTAACAAGGAGGATACTGCATTTCCAAAGACACCCCCCCCCCCAAATCAACACCATACAGTCAAATAAAACTTACCTCCAGCACTGTCACAAAGCAACTACCGTTTTCAATCATGGATAAAAAGTTGAGAAACAAAAAGAGAAGCAATCCAATGAAATTTAAAGGCAAATCAACAATAATTAGGAAGGGAACAAAACCCCACGTTGAGAATTCTGCATGGAGGTCCAGGGCTTCGTTTTTGAAAGATAGCTTATTTCCTACTATGGCCTATTAAAGCAAATGTTTGATTGAAAGGAGGAAGCTCAGACTTGAAAGGCAAGTCCTAACTCACAAAGCTGTCAGCACTACCCAAAATGAAGAATAAACAACTACAGCAATTGGTCCATTTAAAGCGAGTAGATTTCACTATTGCTTGTAAACTGGGTGTGTCATCTTTCACCTATATACATACAACATGTCTTTTTCAGTTTTAAAAAATCTGATTTGAAATGTAGAAGAGAGCTTTTGATATTGTTAGTTTGGAGTTTTAAAGTTTCATATCCAAATGAAAAAAAAAAATAAACACATAATAAATTATTGCAAACTACTTTAGCCTTTATGGGCTAAAATACTTCATATTTTCCACTGGGTTTTCTGCTGCTATAGGTAATTTAAAAATACAGACTGAATTATTCATATAAGTCACAGTTATAATAATGGCTGATATATATTCTTACATATTAGTTATATTAATATGTAAGAATATATATCAGCCATTATTTTTTCTATTTCTCTGCTGAAATACATGGACTAAAAATCTTGCCAGATAGAAGAAAATTCTGCATTCCTAATTCCAAACCCATTAACCAAATGAATGTTTCAATTGGGAGACTTATTACTGTAACTGAGCTTCATCAAAGAAATTTACCATGAAAAGACTATATATAACCCTTTCTCTTATTAATATGATGTACCAACAGCAATTTATGGCTGGGACATGAACATGCCTAATCCTCCTGTCTTCTGCTTTCCACACAACAACCCTGTAAAGTGGATTGAGCTGAGAGAGCGACTGACCAAAGTCATCCAGCTGGCTTTCATGCTGAGGGTGGGACTAGAGCTCATGGTCTCCAGGTTTCTAGGCCTGTACCACTACACCAAACTGCCTCTCTCTGATTTTTCTTAATGGATCAAATCAGTGTGCCTCCTGTATTTTCTGCCTTTATGCATAGATTTTCATATTTTAGTTATATCAGGGGTGGGTTCTACTTACCTTTACTACCGGTTCGCAATGGGACCGCACGTACGCTTCTGCGCATGCACAGAAACTTCCTGATGATGGCCGGGACAGTGGGCGGAGCCTCCTGCCAGTTTTACTATGGTTCTTGCAAACTGGTCCGAACCGGGGCAACCCACCACTGGGTTATATGTAATATTCAAAGTCCATGAGATCTTAAGTTTTAAAACTCTTAAGACTCAGACTTTGAAGGCAGTTCAAAGATCTTGCTGTCTGTCTAAACAAAAGGTTTAGAAATCTAGCAGTGTTGCAAAATATCTTTACTACTCACTGTTGAAATAATTGCTTAACAAACTGCAGTCCTGCTGAACAATGACGTTTCTATTAATATGAAGAAACAACCAGGTTTGGAAAATGTTTTTTGGGGGGAAAATCTTTGAAATGTGATTTAGTTATTCAGGGCATATGCTTTGTACTCAAAATCATATTATTTAGTAAGTTATTTAAATAACATCTAACTAGCCAAGTTAGCAAAATATAGATTAACATAAACAAAGGTATTTCAAGGCAACCTCTCCTGTATCATATATTTGCACTCTTCAAACTAAACAATAAAAAGGTGGTAGGAGAACACATTCATTACTGAAAGCTGAACTTTAAAAAAATATGCACGTATGTATATACATTAGTGAATAAATATGAAATCTCATTTGAGTTAAATTCAAAACACAATAACTGCATTGACATATCCAGTATTCACTCCATACAGGCTGTCAAAACAGGGTCATAATGGGCACTTAAGTACAACAATTATTTTCAGTGTGTCTGATAAAGAGGACCACAGTCCAAAAAATGTATGCCACATTCATTAGATTACTATACTAACAAATTAACAGTTACTCCTATGGCAGCTATCATTATGACACAGAACGAAAATCAGAGCTAAGTAAAGTGAACAGCAAAGAAACATTACATTTAAACTCAATGAAATATCTATACATCCATCCACACCAAACACTGGCTCTCTTATGAATGGGATACCCACAATTCAGGCATTATTATAAAAGTTGAACACTAATAATCCAGGGGATTATTTTTTTCAATGGTAATGGATTAGAGACATTTCAGAGGAAGACACAACTGACACAGGAACATGGCACTGAACAAATGATGCATCCAGTTCAGTAAATCTAAAATGATCAGTTGTCCACAATTTCTGACAAGAGCTTTTCCCCACCAACTGTGACAGACCCTCCAAACTTCCACATTATTACTTAGACTCAATAACATATATTTAAATATTCTTATTTTCTCTTAATGTCTCATGATGTAGAAAATTAAAGAAAACAAGTTTGATTTCCTGAGTATTTTGTTCCAATATTCTTTGGCACAGTGCAAGAATTCAATAAGGCAGTGTGGAACTAGAAACTCTTTCATTCAGTGATGCATAAAGAGAGAAGGGTAATGCTCAGCTGTAAAAAGGCTGTATGTGTTTATTGTAAATATATTATCAGTTAGGAAACAGTGGGAATTTTTTTACCCTTATCAGTGAATAAGCATGCATACATGCAGCACACTGAGTCTTTCAATATTTTTGCAAAGTTAACAAAAGGACTCACAGTATTATAAATGTTTCCAAATGTATCCAACATTCTTTGAATGAAGCAGTCTTCAACACTGAGAAACATCTCTTTTGATCATCCTTTAATCCTTAAGAAACAATGAGGAGATGTTTTTCCTCCATTTCCAAATTCCTCCTGCTTGGTTATCCAAAATTTCTTTTGGGTAGCAGACAACAGGTTTCACTTGATTATACTGAATCCTAACAATATCAAGGAAATAGTTTTGAACAGAATTCTTTCTTTCTACTTCTACTAATAATTGGGACAATCTGGAGTCTTTTACTTAATGGATGTCAATGGATAAGACTGATTCTGAAAAGAGCCAATGAGTAGAGCCACTCAATTTTAATTCCATTTCAGTGTTGACAAGACTGAAGCTGTGCAAAGAAAACTCATTGTTTAGAGCTGCCACTGATGGAGCTCTCTGACTGGTCCCTGAGTAAAATCTATACACTCTCAAGCTATAAAAGATTTCTAGAGAGGAAGCTGGGATGCCTTTCACTGTGTAGCCATCATATTAGAAGAGGTATTTGCTTTACTGAAGCACAAGAAAACCAGCAGTTGGTACTACAGATACAATGAATGTTGAGAGAAATGGTAAGAATACAATTATGTTGATTTGCAGACCAGGACTTTTTGGGGAGCATGAGGTGATGTGAGTTAAGTACCAGTTGATACAGATCACAAGTAATAATATATTCATTCTGAATTGGCAAAGCTTTTAAAAGATGGAGAGATAGATAGATATTTCCTGCAGTAAAAGACACCAAACAACGGTGTCTCTTTAGATTACCAAGCCAAATTCATTTGAAATTCCAAAATTTAAAAGCCTATTTGATACTATCAAGAAATCTAGAATAGAAACCAATCTAACAGCATATAATTTTTCTTCTGATTCCTGGGAAGAAATCAACTCGGATAAATATAATGCCTGACTTATCCAATCTGACAGGATAGAGGGCCATCTTTACATTGCTTTTGATTGAATATGGATAAAAGTCCTTATCAGACTTCTGGATATAAGTATGCAAGTAACATGTTCTGATACTGGGTTGCATTCCTTTGGATGAATTCAGCCTATCCCTTCATGCCTGAGGTCCAGCCAAGTGCTATCTTAAAAATCAACAATTTATCCTCTCATTGAAATAGAGGCAACAGAGCTATGTCCAGGGGTCTGCCCTCCCTGCTCTTAGGCATCATCCCTGCCCAAGTTGATAGATTCTGCTGCCAAACTGGCAATAAAGTCCCCAAAGCTAAGGGTGCTGGGGGATTTCAATCTGCTGAGTGGTGGTACTGAGTCCAGGATAGCTCAGGAGTTTGTGGACACCATGGCAACCATGAATCTCTGCTAAATCCTCAACAGCCCAACACATACTATAGCTGCACGCTGATCTGACTTTTGTTTTGAGGCAATTGTGATGTGATCTGTAGTACAGAATTTTAATATCAGTCCATCGCCATGGACAGATAATTCTCCAGTTACTGTGCTTCCTCCTTATGAGAGACAGATTCTATTCCATCAGCCCACTGCCATCAGAGGTCTCGCCATGGGAGTTTGGGATCTTCCTTGGGGATCTGGCAGATGGTTCAGTTGAGGCTTTGGTGGCCTTTGAAATAGGTAGATTTCTGGGCCTTCGATCACATAACTCCTATGTGGTCATTGCCTGTACCTGGTTCTGGGTATATTTTGATTTATTAAAGAACTCTGGGAGATAAAGGGCCAAAAGATGTGGTAGATATGCATTGGAAGATGATTTGGAGTGAATGCAATCAAACATGAATAAAATCCCATATCAAGGATTACCATATAGAAATCAAGATTGCCTCACAGGACCATTTCCCAGGCCACTGTGAGGAATATTTTAACTATTTGGAAGATAAATTTTCACTATGATAATGATCTGTCACTATTGTTGTACGTACATTGTGTTTTTAATTGGCTGTACACCGCCCCGAGTCCTTCAGGAGAAGGGCGGTATATAAATTAAATTATAAATAAAATAAATAAATAAATAAAAATATACACCAAGAGCTTATGTACCGGAGACAAATTCCTTGTGTGTCTAATCGCACTTGGCCAATAAAGAATTCTAATTCTAATTCTAAAATCATACAGATGTGCACTTGTGGAAAGAGGGGTTGATGCCTTCTGCCTTGGTAGTCCTTGAACTCAGCTATCTTATATAACAGGGGATTCTGGAGGCAGTGGATTATGGACTCATTCTAATCAGATACAGACTGGTATGTGGTATAGGGAGAGCCCTGATCATACATATCAATTATTTGTGCTGTAGGCAAGATAGAGATGGTGCATCTGTCCTTGAGCTTCTTCATCTCTCAGTGGTTTTTCATACTGCTAACCACAGATCCTTCTGCACCAATTCTGGGGGTTGGGAATTGGAGTCACCATATTGTTGTTGTTTTTTTCCATTCCTTCAAAGCCTGTTCCAACTAGTGGTGAACAGAGGTTGCTCCCTAGGTCCTGTTGATTGGAATATGAACTAATCTAGTTGTAAGGCAACATTAAACTTCCATTAAATTGAAGAATGTTTGGGGAAGTACCATCCCACTATAACACATATTTAAATAGCAAATTACCTGTATGGTTATTGTCACAAAATATCCTGTACTTAGTGAATCAAGTATATAATCTATCCAGGCTCCACTCTGTGGACTTATAAATAAAATGTGAAACTATAATCATTAGCAGTTTCTTTACCTCATACATCTATTAATTTAAACTGAAATAACAGTTTCTTCAACATTATTATCAAATCATGCCTTTTGTTATAATCTACACCAGTATCGGTCTGGAATTCTATCTCTCCATTTTGTCTTTTGTCAATATTTACATTTTACCACAGATCGTTATAAAAAAGTGAATTCCAATTTATTTGGTACATAAAGTGAAAGTAAAGTAGTTAATAGCCAGCCCCTCAAAAATCCTTTAACAAAGTTATGTCTACTCTTTTTATCATTAAGAACATACATCATTTCAAAGAATGTAGAGCTATAAAAAATAATAATTAAACCCTCAAGATTTAGAAGAGCCTCTTGCTATCAGTAATAGTCCAAAATCAAACATTTTAACAGAAAATCATTTGGCTTAAGAATTGCCTGCAACATTGCCATATTTGAATGCCTTGGCTATAACAATGAATCATTCTTTTGTATATAACCATACATATTTAACCCTGAATGTTTGAAGTCACAATTTTAACATCTTCAATTCTAATTCATCCCTCCTTTTCCTTTTCATTCTATAAAGAACCTCACTCTCATAGAATTCAACAGTCACAAAGCCTCAATACATCAGTGTTCACTTTGAGGGACAAAAATCTCTAAATTATATGTGCATGCAGATATAAACCTTAAAATTATATAATCTGACATGTAATATGAACATCATGTCCACATTATTTTAAGCCAGAATTCAAATTCTGCTTTAGATCAATGTAATATATTAAAGATCCAATTTTCCAGATTACTCAAAATTTGGTTTAACTTGTCTAAAAAGAATTGGCATAAATTTGGGTATTTTTTAAAAAAAGTCTACCAGTCTAAGCCCCATATACATATCACGAATAACAATATTTCCAAAGGTCAAGAAACATGAGAGTAATTTGACCTATTAGTTTTACACAGTGCAATTGTTCAGTCCTAATACTTAATAAAACCCATTTCAACAACTCAGTGGTTCAAATACATTACTGCAATAATCCTTACAACATCCCTGTAAGGTAGGCTAGAAGTATCATATGTATATAACATATGCCAACTGAGTGGAAGAACAGATTAGTGATAGAAATACTATTCAAACTTCAATTTCAGGTTGCCATTTTGTTCCATGCAACTAGTTATGGGAGTTCAGACCAAAAATGTAACAAAATGAATAAAACTAGAGTTCCACTTTACTAAGGAATTCTGTTTTGTTCTTGCTTGTAACCAACATAACATTGAAATGTGGTTCAATAAAATGAATTATTTCACCACCTCTGCCTCTCAGTCTATGAGATCGAGAATGTTATAAATATTACTAAATCATCAAGAGTATTTGCACCATAGAGGAAAAAGTCATTCATTTAGTGCAGCCAGTCAATTATGGAAGCATTTGCCTTCCAAAATGCATCTAAGGTAGCGAACCACACATAACTTTCTCTAACATATAATTCTTTGCCTCCTTTGCATGTCAGTAGAAGAGAATCCCTCATTCTTTTTCAGCATGCCATGCAGTTTCCCAGAAGTATAACCTACAAACATATAAACTGAGAAAATAAAAACATTATATGTTGTTCCTAAATAAAATAAATAAAAATAAATGGCTTCAAGTAAAACATAAAATTTAACAATAAAGAATTTTAAATAAGTCTCTTGAAATGTGCCACCAAAGGCATTGTGAACTCACTGCCAGATCTCTCCTTTCAGCTTGTAAAGGCAATCTTTTTCTGTTCTAATGGAAAATATCTGAGCACATGGCAACCCATTACCTTGTATCGATCCAAAGGGTCTTCCTGCTGCAGCTGATTCTCCCTCATCATTTGATATTCTCTCTCATATTTCTTCAGCTTCTTTGTAGGCACCTGTAGGTTAATAAAAATAAATAACAAAAATATTAAGGTTAACATTCGAGGTGAAAAACTACTCTAGCAAGACATATAGGGACTAAAAGAAGTAGGAGCTATTGTATACTCACCATCAACAGTAAAATAGTCTCTTGATCTTACAAAGAACTGCCAGTACATTTCAAATGAAAGTAGATATGTTACTTCTCCCCAACAAGGCTACAGTGTTCTAATTATGAGGCTAAAAGTAGGGAATATAACTCAATTCACAATGGAATTTTATTATTTCTATTATTAAAAGGGGGGGGGGGAAATCACACTTCCCAGTGCTAAGAGCAGCAGCTAAGTACCCATCTCAAAATAAGATGGACTGGGATTCTTGGGGGGGTGTCTTTATAACTGGCACTAATTTGGGATTCGGGACAAATGTGTGCGATTATAACTAAGAAAATTATTTTGAAAAACAGGTGGCTTCCATCAATATGAATTTGAAATTTCGGTTGCACCTCCTATAAAGACCCATAATATTTGTGTGGGAGTAGTGCTTCTCCCATTATAATATAAACCACACAAACTAAAGTATAATTGTTTTAATTACAGATAGGCAGTGGGAGTATGGCAAAATGAGGCTACAAAAATGTACACATCATGACAGTACAATATGAAGATAGGAAAAATTAATGAGAAATAGGACATACTTCAGCAAATGGAAATTTTAGCCCTGCTGTACACACATAACGGGTCTAAGACAAGTGCCATCTTGCCTCAGTCAAATTGCCATATTTATTTATTTATTTTATTTATTTTATTAAATTTCTATACCGCCCTTCTCCTGAAGGACTCAGGGCGGTGTACAGTCAGAAATAAAACCATGACAATAGAAAAATTAAAAACAAGTTAAAACAATTAAATCAATTGGCCGAAAATTCTAATAAAACAAGCCATTAAAATAGTAAAAATATTATTATTATTTAGGCCAGCCCTGCTTGTTGGAATAGTAATGTTTTTAGGGCACGGCGAAAGGTACGCAGGTCGGTAATCCTACGAATCTCCGGGGGCAGCTCATTCCAGAGAGTAGGGGCCCCCACAGAGAATGCTCTCCCCCTGGGAGTCGTCAGCCGGCATTGTCTAGCTGACAGCACCCGGAGGAGCCCCTCTCTGTGGGAGCGTACCGGTCGATGGGAGGCTATCGGTGGCAGAAGATGGTCTCGTAGATACCCAGGGCCCATGCCATGGAGCGCTTTAGCCCCCCTGGCCACAGCCGTCAGATGGTCTTCCAGGGACAGTTGTGAGTCCAAGAGGACACCCAAGTTGCGAGCCCTCTCTGAGGGGGTCAAGATCTCACCCCCAATAGTCAGTGATGGAGTCAACTGAATATGATGGGACGCCGGAAACAACAGCCACTCGGTCTTGGAAGGGTTAAGTCTGAGCTTGTTCCTCCCCATCCAGATCCGTACAGCTTCCAGGCACCAGGACATCACTTCAAGGGCATCATTGGGGTGGCCTGGGGTGGAAATGTACAGCTGAGTGTCTTCTGCGTACTAATGGAAATCCACCCCGAAGCCACGGATGATCTCGCCCAGCGGCTTCACATAAATTTTGAACAGGAGGGGCGAGAGGACCGACCCCTGTGGCACCCCACAGACTAGGCGCCTTGGGGTCGACCTCTGCCCCCCTGCCAACACAGACTCGTACGGCCGGAGAGGAAGGAGGCAAACCACCACATAACGGTGCCCCCCACTCCTAACCCCTCCAGCCGGTGCAGCATACCATGGTCGATGGTATCAAAAGCCGCTGAGAGATCTAACAGAACCAGGACAGAGGAACAGCCCCTGCCAACATACCACAGGACAACTTGCCGCAGAGAATTTCATGTGTGATAACTCAATGCGATGTTATCCACCACTGTTTCTTTGACATTATTTTCATTGACAAAAATGGAACTAATGTCAAAGAAACAGTAACAGATAACATTTATCATGTTGAGCTATCCTGCATGGAATTTTCTGTGGCAATTTGTCTCATGGCCAGTTGGCCACAGCGAGTTATTGCATAGCGAGTTGGCTGCAGCAAGATGGCTATGGTGAGTTGGCCACAGCGAATTGTCTCATTCTGCACAACAAAGTGACATGTTACACTATGTACAGAGTAAAGTAATGGGACAATGATAGTTGCTTGTATAGAAGCATAGAAGTATTTGGTACCTGTTCCAGGTACTAAAAATATAAAGGTAAACTGAATCTAAGAAAGTAAAAAGCAATGAAGCTGGCCAAAATAGGTCAGTCTGTATACAGAGAACAATGTGAATGTTCAGGCTGAGGCAATCATGAGGCCTCAGTGCACTAGTAGCAGCAAATCTGTCCTCCAAAGTCATCTGGCTGTTAAACAAAAAGGATAATTGACTATTAATTAAATCTCCTACTGGAACACCTGCTGTTTTCTCCTCTGACTAGCTGCTTCCTTGGAGCAGGAATGCTGATTTAGAAGGTTTAACAATCTACAGTCTCACCAGACGGCCTAAAGCAATGTACACAGGTAACTTATCCAAAGTTCTAAATATTATTAAAACGAGTTCTCTTTATGGGAGGTCTGTAAACACAGTCTTAAAACTTGTGCTGTCCACTTCAAATGACTCTGATAACTGCCAAAACAAAAATGAAGAACTCCAAAACTTGAATTTGAAAAATTTCAGCTTTTATACAGATTAACAGAATTGGAAGGGACCTTGTGGATCACCTAGTCCCGTGATGGTGAACCTTTTCTGGACTGAGTGCCCAAAGCGTGTGAGTGCAAATGTGTGCGTGTGCCTGAACCTCCAAAATGCAATGCGTGTGTGGCCCCTGCGCATGTGTGCGCAGCCCACCGCACATGCCCCTCTGCACATGTGTGGCAGAGACCCGATGACCAGCTGGCTGGCAGGAGGTGTGCATGCATGCGCGGCGAAGCTGAATTGGGGCGATGGCTCATGTGCCCACAGAGAGGGCGCTGTGTGCCACGCATGCCATAGGTTCACCATCACAGATCTAGCCCAACCCCCCCCAAGCAGACCCTACACCATTTCTGACAGATGGCAATCCAGTTTCTTCTTGAAAGCTTCCAGTGATGAAACTCCCACAACTTCTGAAGGCAAGCTGTTCCATTGGTTGATTGCTCCCACTGTCAGAAAATTTCTCCTTATTTCCAAGTTGAATCTCTCCTTGTTCAGTTTCCATCCATTATTCGTTGTCTAGCCTTCAGGTGCTTTGGAAAATAGCTTGACCCCCTCCCTCTCTGTGGCAGCCCCTCAAATATTGGAACACTGCTATCATGTCTCCCCTGGTCCTTTTCTTCATGCCCAGTTCCTGCAATCATTCATCGTATGTTTTAGCCTCCAGTCCCCTAATCATCTTGGTTGCTCTTCTCTGCACTCTTTCTAGAGTCTCAACATCTTTTTTATAGTGTGGTGACCAAAACTGGATGCAGTACTTTAGGTGTGGTCTTACTAAGGCTTTATAGAGTGGTACTAGTACCTCACTTGATTTAGATTGTATCCCTATTAATGCAATTTAGGATTGCATTGGCATTTTTGGCTGCCGCCGCACTCTATTACCTCATATTTAATTTGTTGTCCACTAAGACTCCAAGATCCCTCTCACAGTTACTGCTATTAAGCCTGGTTTCACCCAGTCTATATGTGTACTTTGGCTTTTCTTGCCTAAGTATAAGACATTACTTTTCTCTACACTGAATATCATTTTGTTAGATAAGGCCCAGTGTTCAAGTCTAAGTATATTATGTCCACAGTATTTTGCTGGTCTACTAATTTAGTCACTATGTTGAAAAATGAAATAAGATTGGTTTGGCATGATCCATTTTTAACAAATCCATGCTGACTTCTAGTTATTACTTTACTCGTTTCTAGATGTTGGCAGATCTGTTTTTTTATTATCTTTTCTAGTATCTTCCCGTGTATTGATGTTAGGCTGATTGGTCTGTAGTTTTTTGGGTCTGTTTTTCCCCCTTTTTTGATGATGGGAACCATATCAGCTCTCTCTTTTTCCAGTCCTCTGGTAATTCCCCGGTGCTCCGGTGCACACTATTGTAGTGTGTTTCCTACATATGTTTGTTAAGTTGGTTGCCAAAAAGTACATCTATTTTTTCTGTTTGGTTGGGTGGCCTGTAGTCTACACCTATGGCAATGTCATTCTTTTTTTTCTTTTATATTGACCCATATTTTATTTATTTATTTATTTTATTAAATTTTTATACCGCCCTTCTCCTGCTGGACTCAGGGCGGTGCACAGCCAAGAATAAAAAACATCCCAATACAAAATTTAAAATTTTAAAAGAATTAAACAAATTTTGGCTCAAAATTTAAAACGTCCCGACTAAAATCCATTTACCATTAAAAATATCTAAGGGGGGGGGGTGTTACGCCAGCCCAGCTTGATGAAATAGAAGTTTTGAGGGCACGGAGAAAAGCACGGAGATCTGGTATCCTACGTATCTCCGGGGGCAGGTCGTTCCAGAGGGCAGGTGTTGCCACAGAAAAGGCCCTCCCCCTGGGGGTCGCCAGCCGACATTGCCTGGCTGACGGCACCCTGAGGAGTCCCTCTCTGTGGGAGCGAACTGGCCGGTGGGAGGCTATCGGCGGCAGAAGGCGGTCCCATAAGTACCCAGCCTCTATGCCATGGAGCGCTTTAAAGGTGGTAACCAACATCTTGAAGCGCATCCGGAAGACCACCAGAAACCAATGCAGCTCGGCAGGAGGGGTGTCACATGGGAGCGCCACATCGCTCCCATAATCCCCCACATGGCCGCATTCTGCACCAGTTGGAGCCTCCAGGTGCTCCTCAAGGGGAGCCCCATGTAGAGAGCATTGCAGTAGTCCAGGCGGGAAGTGACGAGTGCCTGAGTGACTGTGCGTAAGGAGTCCCGATCCAGAAAGGGACGCAACTGGCGAATCAAGCAAACCTGATAAAAAGCCCCCCTGGCCATGGCCGTCATATGCTCTTCTAAAGATAGCCATGCATCCAGGA